TACGGAGGGTGGCAGGTTCAAACCCAGCCCTGGCCAAACTGCAACAAAAAAATAGCTGGGTGTTGTGGTAGGCGTCTGTACTCCCAGCTACTTGGGAGGCTGAAGCAAGAGAATCGACTAAGCCCAAGAGCTGGAGATTGCTGTGAGCTGTGGCATCACAGTGCTCTACTGATGGCGACAAAGTGAGACTCTTGTCTCTAAAAAAGAAACAAACAAACAAAAAAAAAGAAACCTCAAACTCTTGAGCACAAGCCATCCTCTTCTCTCAGCCTCCCTAGTAGCTGGGCCCACCACAACACCCAGCTATTTTTTTTAGAGACGGGGTCTCACTCTGGCTCAGGCTAGTCTCAAACTTGTGACCTCAAGCAATCTGACTGCCTCGGCCTCCCAGAGTGCTAGGATTATCGGCATGAGCCACTGTACCCGCCCAAAACAAAAAGCTTTGTAATAGACTATACAGGCAAAACTATGGTAAAACAGATACAGAAAATATATCAATCAAAAATGTAAATGTACATACCTTTTGAACAAGTAATTTCAATTTTAGGAATCTTTCCTATGGTAATACTTGCATATGTGCACAAAGATTTGTGGATATTAACTAGAGTGTAAATTGTAACAGTAAAAATATGAAAACAATGCAGACATCAACATCAGAGTGGTTAAATAGATCACGGTACATTAATATGATAAAATACTACGTACCCAGAAAAATGAATGAGGTAATGTATGAAATCATCTCTAATGATCTTCACTGTTAAGTGAAAAAAGCAAACTGAGGGCAGGCACGGTGGCTCACACCTATAATCCTAGCACTCTGGGTAGTTGAGGCAGGTAGAATATCTGAGATCAGGAGTTTGAGACCAACCTGAGCAAAAGTAAGACCTGGTCTCTACTAAAAAACAGAAAAAAATAGCCAGTGTTATGGTAGGGGTCTGTAGTCCCAGCTACTTTGAAGGCTGAGGCAAGGGGATTGCCTGAGCCCAAGAGTTTGAGGTTGCTGTGAGCTATGATACCATTGTAATTCTACCCCAGGAACAGAGTGAGACTCTGTCTCAAAAAAAGAATATGGCTTGGCGCCTGTAGCTCAAGTGGATAGGGCGCCAGCCACATACACCAGAGCTGGTGGGTTCGAATCCAGCCCAGGCCTGCCAAACAACAATGATAACTATAACCAAAAAATAGCCGGGGGGCGGCACCTGTGGCTCAAAGGAGTAGGGTACCGGCCCCATATGCCAGAGGTGATGGGTTCAAACCCAGCTCCAGCCAAAACTGAAA